AAGGAGCAAGGGCGGGGGAGGGGCAGTCACATTCTGCCTCTCTATCTGTCCGCTGGTTATATAGGTGTGTTCACTTTGTGACAGTTCATCATTATGTGCATTTTTCTAGACACTTATTGTCCTGGAATAAAAAGGTAATAACATCCTACTAAGTAAGTTCACCTATAAAAAATAAGCGATCCCTCAGACCAAAAGTGGGCTGAACATCAAGTTAAATGAAGCCATTACGCACCATCACCAAGACATACCAAGCACCTTTCTCATCCTAGGGCCATTGCTTACATTGGTGGAACAAAGTTCCATTTTCTTTTCCACTGGATCCACAACAGAATGTTCTCTGATGTATGTTAAAGTCCTACTGGTTCCCAAAATCTAAAAAACAAAGCAAAACTAGCATAATGGTATGTTACACTGTCATTCTGTAGCATCAAACACAAAACACCTCATTTACTCATTTGTACACGGGTGGGGGTGCGCCATGAACCTGTGCGGTAACTTCAGGTTTCTGTTCTAGCAGGTGGGAGAGACACTGGACAAATGAATGAATTCAAGTAGACTTGAGTGTATGACAGTAATGAATGCTTTGATGAAAAAGAAAATGGGGGTGGGGGGCAGGAGTGCAGAGAAGGCCCCCCTGCCAGTGGCAGAGCCTGGGAGGGAGGAAGGGTGCCATGCAGAGTTCTGGGTGGGCAAGAGTCAACCATGTGAGGAGGTGGTGGGCGGGCAGGTGTCTTTGAGCCGAGAAGCTAGAACAGACCATCCCTCACGGTCCTCAGAGGAAACTACCCTGCCGGCACCTTGCTATTGTACTTCCAGCCTCCAAAACAGAGAAAATGTCTGTGGTTTAAGCCCCCAAATCTGTGGTGTTTCATTTTGGCAGCCCAACAGATGCAACACCGTGGAGCGAGGCGGGAGGGGATTCTGTGCTGGCGGGGCTGAGGGCGGAGCCATGCCACGTGTCAGGAGGTGTGTCAGGACCATGGAGACGGACCCGTTTCATGATGTTTGCAGAGGAACAAACCATCTCTTGGGCTTCCTAGAAATCCCGAGTGGGCGCTCTAAGGGGAGGTAGTCATTTCCTGCAGATGGTGCCAGCTGGGGGCAGAGTGGGTGTAGGCAGGGTGATGCAGGTGTAGTGGGAGCAAAGCCGGCACCAGCTGGGTGGTGCAGGTGTAGCGGGCCGGGCAGGTCCCAGCGGGGGCAAGCAGCTGTGGGCTCACCGCTTTCACGAGGGCAGGCAGCCCCCACTCGGTGCTGAGGAGGCGGTGGCTGTGAAGCCGGCCGCAGCGGTCCACACTGCGCTCCAGCACATCGACTCCCACCACACAGGGATTCATCGGATTCGGGTACTTCCTCATAGCAGCCTTGATGACCGTGTCCCATGGGTGGCTGGAGGGAAAATACAATCACTCGGCATAAGCAAGCAAACCTTTTGTAGCGTGTACCAGAGTGGCGCTGGGAGCCAGCGATGCTGTGTGCCACAGAGTGAAATGAATAAAGTTTTTTCTTTTGGTTTTAATTAAAGGCATAGCCAACAAATGTATATCAGGAGTCCAGCTCCGACCTACATCCTGGATCCTGGGATCCTGCTGAGCCGACCATAGGCAATCAGAAGGCTTTGCCACCAGGCTGCGCCAGGAACCTGGGGCACGAACAAGAACCCGGGCCCCTGGCAGCTGCGCTCATGCCCATCTCATCTGGTCTGCATTCCCAGTCCAGAAGCTCGCACAGGCCACCTCACCACTTTCCTTCCCTGTGGCTCAGCACTTTTCCTGTTCCCGCAATTCCTCCTCCCTCTCCCGCCCTCCCTCCCTCCCTTAAAGAGATAAAAGCTTTAGTTTAGGGCTTCTGCGCAGGGAGACAATTCTCCCCACCCCTTGCCTGTCACCTGCCCTCCCCTGCTGTTCCATCAGGTGACGAAAGAAACTCGAGGGAGCGGGCACCATTTCGGACTCTTGCCTGCACTGTTGCAGTGACTAAAGGCTTGGCTCACGGTGGCCATGGTGGAGTGGGAACCCATCCCCAGGGCGCGAGGCCTCTGCCCCACTGCAGGGCAGCTAACCCGAGGGCAGTAGGAGGCCTCATTCCCTGCCCACACTGGGAAGTGGGAAGGCATAACCAAGGCCCTGCTCTATGCACAGCGAGGGTGTAGAGCAGCGGTTCTCAACCTGTGGGTCAAGACCCCTTTGGGGGTCGAACGACCCTTTCACAGGGGTTGCCTAAGACCATCGGGAAACACATATATAATTACATATTGTTTTTGTGATTCATCACTATGCTTTAATTATGTTCAATTTGTAACAATGAAATTGGGGGTCACCACAACATGAGGAACTGTATTAAAGGGTCGGGGCATTAGGAAGGTTGAGAACCACTGGTGTAGAGACAAGGGGTGGGATTAAATTATAGCACGTCTGGGATTTGTCTATAATAAATTGGAGGGAAGAACAGTAGGTAGGGACACGTGAAACCAGACTGGCTGCGAGAGGGGAACTGTCGACCTGGAAGATGGCACTGGGCCTCGTCATTCTAGTCTTCACTTTTGCATACTTTTGAAATTTCCCTAACAGCAAGTTGTTGTTTTTTAAAAGGATGAGGGCAGCCACAAACCAGGCAAAGTCACCTGCACCCCCTACTTGAAGCAAGTCTAGGCCCACATCTGAGCGTAGTGCACACACCCAGAGGCTCCCATACTCTTTCAGGAGGTCTGCGAGGTCAAAACTGCTTCATGATGCTACTACGACATGATGTGCCTTTTTCACTCAACTGACATTTACGCTTCAAAAGCATCGGCGGGTAAGACTGCTGGCCTCTCCCCACGAATTAAAGCCAGGGCCCCAAACCACACTCATGGCCACTGCTCACTGCTGTGCACTCGGAGAAACCACGCCACCTTTCTTAAGATTATCCACGATGAAAGAGTAAAATTATATTTGATTCCATCTAAACCCCTGAGTACTTTTCTTTTAATATTCTGACCACAAGAAAGCTAAGACCCATACTGGGATTAGATACCCCACTATGCTTAGCACTAAACCTAAACAACTTATATAACAAAATTATTCCCCGGAGTACAAAATTATTCCTAGTAGTACTCAGAGGACTTCACAGTGTTTTATATCCCTCTAGAGCAGTGGTTCTCAACCTTCCTAATGCCGCGACCATTTAATACGCATGTGGGCGGAACCGCCTGGAGACGGATAGAGGAGCGGTCTCTCGGTTCCTAAGACCATCGAAAATATGTGTTTTCCGATGGTCCTAGGCGACCCCTGTGAAAGGGTCGTTCGACCCCCAAATGGGTCGCGACCCACAGGTTGAGAACCGCTGCTCTAGAGTCTAGAGGAGCCTGTTCTATAACTGATAAGCCCCGATAAACCTCATCCACCCTTGCCAATTTAGTCCAGATGCCACCATCTTCAGCAAACACTAAGAAGGAATTACAGTAAGCACAAATATAAGACATAAAAACGCTGGGTCGTGGGAAGAACACCTGGAGCACTTAGCTGTCTAAGGAGGCCGGGGAAGTGCTGGGCAGCTGTGGGTGGTGGGCCCAGCTGGCTGCTTCCTTCCAGGTTCCTCACTTCTACTAACTGGTTATCTGGCAGACATTTTCTCAAAAATCAATGAAATGGGCCCATCACTTCAAGGAAAACAACTGATAGTATTTGTTGCCAAAGATAAAACTTGAGTTTTGAGTGAAAATTTCAAAAACTTTATCCACTCCCATGAGGCCTCATATTGTAACCGGGTAAACCCATATGCTCCCAATGACCAGTGCCAGATGTCACAAAATCATACAACAGTGAGAGAGTCATTTAAAATTTTGGACAGGCCATCTGGCAGAGTCATTATGGTTTCAGATTTTACACAGATTTTACCTACTAGAGACCTTTCCTGGTAGTTGTTAGAATTCAGAGTATATGGCCTTGAATCTCTGCCAGAAATCTACTTGTGTTGGCTCTGTTCCTGAAGATTTTATAGGTCTACCTGAAACCCAAGTCATGCTGTGAGGACGAAATTTATAAGCCTATTAACTTTTAAATGCCCCTTTCTATATTTTTATATTTCAGTCCTATATTTTTCATTGCTATTTAGACAATCTTAAACCCTGTCTAGGTAACACACACTGCATTCAGATGGCTTTCTCCAAGGGGCCTCCATTCCTGCAGGCATGTTTATGTTGCTCTCTGCTGAGCCTGAGCTCCAGTCCCTGGGGTTTCTATGCGATGTGGACAGGGAAAGAAATCTTGATATGATCAAAAGGATTTGTGCCTACTTATTTCTTGCCTTTCCAGAGCAAATGTACTAATTTTCGATCAAATATTTATCTGACAGTACAACAAATATATAAAAGAAGTAAGTATAAAAAGAAATCTATAACCCTCAAAGAAAAAAATAAATTGGTGATTTTTGACGGACTAAGCAAGAAAGCTGGGCTTCCCATTTTGTGCTGTGCCACCGCACATGACTATGTCATTCGCAACCGGCAGCCACAGGGGCCTACCCCACATTGTCCTTGGCCAGCTGCACTCCACATTTGTCAATTTTCATCATAGCCCTTTGCTTTTAACCTCAAAAATCAATGGCAGGGGATCAGTGCCAAGTCCACAGCGGCTTGGTGTTGACAAAGTTCTTTGGCGGGCAGCCACCCTCATTTTGGAATGGCATCTAATCTCAGCCAGATCCCGCAGCCCCTCACTGAGCACCTACTATGTGCCAGGCACGGGCAGGGTGCCAGGAATACAAAACGAATGAAGTACTGATACAGGATACCACACAAACGAACCTCAATAAAATTATGCTAAGTGAAAGAAGACAGACACAAGGGACCACATGCTGTATGATTACATTTATATGAAATGTCCAGAAAAGGCAAATCTATAGAAACAGAAGGCAGACCAGCAGCTGCCTAGGGCTGGCAATGGTAGTGAAGAGTGACTGCAAGTGGGCACGAGGGGACTTCGTAGGGTGATGGAAATGTTCTAAAACTGGTCTGTGGTGGCGGCTGTACAACTCTAAATTTACTAAAAATTATTGAATTGTACACTTCAAATCAGTGAATTTTACCAATAGTGACTTTTCACAGTTGACAATTCACTTCTGCTTGTCAATCAACACTTCACGAACTTGTAGGGCAGTCCCTGTCAACTATTCCATGACAACACAGCCCCACTGCCCTGGCCTCTACCATGTGCAATGACTTCACCTTTGCCCTCTGCATCTAGATGGTGCCAGTTATGTCCCACCCTTGGGAGAACTGAGCATAAAAAATCAACACGAAAATTGGATCCCATCAAGTCTAAGGATTTCATTAAAAATAACTTTAGAGGTTCTAACCTCTTGATAATTTTTTAATTATAATTTTACATTTAAAAGGCCAAAGGATGACAATTCCATTTCATGAAGTCTTTAAAAAAATTTTTAAAAATTATAGTTGACTATTTTCCCCCCAAAAAAACTGTTTTTCTAAGTGGAGTGGGAGATATTAAAAATCTTTATTCTTTTAAAAAATATTAAAGAATGATTTCACTGGGTCACAGATAAATGACTTAGACGAAGATAGCACCTAGGTCACGAAGGCACTTTTAAATAGCTCCCAGCTTCCCGTGCTAGCCTGGAGGCCTTCCATGCCCACAAGTGCACCCCGTGCCCCAGCCCCCACTGCTTTCTCCGCATCTGCTCCTCCCGAGCGCCTGGGCCGCCGAGGACCCTTCATTTATAAAACATGCTTCATGTTCGTGATCTGCTGCACCGCATAATAAGACCTCTGCTCTCCCTAGGTCCGCACGCCCCTCGCCCCGAAGGAGAACAGGGTGTAGGCGAGGTCAGCCTGGGGGCGCTGAGGGCGCGCTGTCACCTTGACGGGTCCCCTCCAGCCGCGTCCGCCCCACT